GCTTATTATCTCGGCGCCGCGATTTTTCGGCCAGTAACGCCGATGAAAAGTAGCCCGCGAGCCGATAAGCCCGACAGAGGTGAAGCCACGCTGTCGTTGCTGTTGCTTTTCGCGAAAGGTACCGGGCATGCGACTGACCGTTAATTTGCGCCCGAGCGCCGGCAGAGTTGACGGAGAAAAACCCTCTCGACGCGAGAGCCGATCCACGCGAACCGCCTCTCCTGAAGCGAACCGTGGACAAAAAGAAAATTTATTCAATCAGGAACAAATGTATCGGACGAACAATCGACTCCACGGTCCTGCCGGAGAGAACGAAGTCAGGGTTATTGGACCTGGTGAAGCTTACTTGAACGTTAATAACAAGGTCGTTTCGCACCGGATACTCGATCGGCAGCGGTGGCAGGCTGCCAATAACTGCGGTGCCGTAAGGAGTACGTTTTAGGTAATTGGCCGTGAATATTATCTTACTTAGGGGCGGCGGAGGTTAACCGGATCAACGGAACCGTGATAGCGAGCGAGAGAGGGAGAGAGCGAGAGAGCGAGAGAGAGGGAGAGAGAGAACTACAGACGAATAGACGAAGAGCGGAGGCGAGGTGTGCGATACCTTACAAATTGCAACTCGCGAGGGGATGTTTCGCAGGGATGTACCCACGCGTGATCCGAGGGATCGGCTCGAGATTAAAGCGCAGCGGCATCAAAGCGGGGCCCTCTCGCTCGCTCGCGCCGCTCGTTTTTCATCATTTTTCCCTTCCCACCTGGGCGCAAACTGATTTATCGCGAGGCGCAAACAGTTATTAAGGCTTCAAGTGTGCCCCCGCGACTTTCACGTGAACTTTATACATCCTTATCGATCTGACGCTGACGCGGCCGTCTGATTGGGATTCGTATTTTCCGGGTCATTCTCGCTCGCTGCGCTTACCGCGGAGCTGAAAGAAGCGAATCGGAAGCGAGACGAAGGTGAGAGGCGGAGACGAGGGTCGGCACTTTGCGCGCGCGCGCGCGCGAGAGGGAAAAATCACGGGAGATTTGAATGAAAGATTGGCTACGTTTACGTGTAATGACGTGATTTTCCTGTTTTTCACGCTTTTATTACGCCGAATGTACCCCGCGCCGAATCGCTCGGCGGTATTCGTAATATCATATTTATGTCATAGCCAATAGATTCCGGGCGTAACGTGCATGCGTACGCACACAGGGGCTTCAAGATTGACCACAATTCGCGCGTTACCGTATTTATGCAATATTTTCGCGACCGCGCATGCAGAAACCGCTACCATTGTGCGGACGTTACTTTTTAAAGCGGAAGCGCGATTAAAATGGCATACCCGGCGGTCGGTAATTTTCATATATCGGAAAAATCTAAATCACCTGTGATTTATTTCGCGGATATCTATGTATATACCGCGAGTAAAAATATTTCGCCGTTAACTCCGCGCGTGATGGACGCGTACGGCGTGCATTTGTTGCGCATGTTTAGCGAAAAGTATTACCAACTATCTACAGAAGAAATTATCCGAATTCCGAGATATCCAAAACAGGATTTACGTCGTCAGGCCTTTCAGATCTTCTTCCGTTAAAACGACCTCTCGACGGGCTTTGTTTTACTCCGCACCGCTGTCTGCGTATGTCGTATATTTTGTAAAGGAAGCCATTTATTTTTATCTCGCTCAGACGATCTTGACCTTTGAGATACGCGCGCTGTCGAACGTGTCGGACGAACGCGGGCTCCATCAAAATAATTTGCTCGACGTCGAGACAACAATGAGGACCACCGTGCGAAAAGCCCGTGGCGCGCTTTAATTAGTCCCAGGGAGCAGCGATCGCATTCAACTCGCGTAAGTAAATATAATTTAAACAAATTACCGCCGGACAGTTCGCGGATTGTTCTCTAATTGAAAAGTATTTGCGCATCGGGGGCGGGCGTTGAAAGGAAAAATTGACCGAGGGAATTGTTGCTCCTCGAGCCATTGTTACACCGCACTTAGCCTTGCTACTTGATCGCGTGTCGAAGTCAGCTTTACCTCGCTATTATTACGACGATCGCTCGTTACGAAATAGTTATTACACGGCATGCTGGAATAGGGGGACGCGCACTAATATATTTATGCTAATAACGTCGTGTTTTACCTGGAATCGAGTAAAACCGGCGAATCGTCGTCGCGAAACCGTCTCTCCGTGTAAAAAAAATACCCGAGGTTTACCTCCGAAACACCTAATTTGGCGCACAAGTGCGGAATATTCGAAGAAAGATTTAATATTTCCCACGGAAGGAAACATCTGAATCGGAGTACAGCGCAGCCGGAGTGTGTCGCGAGGCAATAAAACGTAGCGATCATAACAACGGGAAAGTCTCGCGTGCTGTGCTCTAACTAGGCGAAAGAAATGGCGACGCGAAGGAAAAGGACGTACGACACGCGTTTGGACACGTCGCCCGAAACCCGGGAAGCGACCTGAAATTATTATCCAACTTTGTGCGAGCAACAAGTGTCGTTAAATCAGCTCCATGTCGTCCGTCTCGTATATCGTGCGGCTGTGTATCGCCGCGCGCCACGCACGCACGGGATATTTAAAGAAACGTTATCTAAAGTTGTTCCGCGAGCATTGTTGTTCGCGGCTTCGCGCCGGTGGCAACCGGGTCCGCCCGGTTCAAATAGGCCACGTTCTTCCCAGTTCGGCTAAACTGGCACATAATACACAAACAGATGCGAATTGTGCGGCAGGCTAACATATTGCCAGACAACCAATGTCATCACGTCGTGCGGTCGCGCGAGAGGAAAACAATTTTCCGCCTCGCCGTCGACGTGGCCGCTCGCGAGTTAAAGTCTCCGTAGATGCGAGAACGCATGCGGCGATGCGAGTCAACCAGTCAGAAGCTCGTTGCAAGCCTCTTGCGTTGAAATTAGTACGCGTCTACGGAGTCTTAGCTTGAAGCTGGGCGCTGATTCGCATACTCTTGAATAGTGCGGAGGAAAAATTGATCGATTCGCCATTCGCAGCGATTCGCTAGCCGTGCGGTTTTCTCGCGAAAACAGTGGTTTTTTTAAACCAAGATTGGAACTTTAATTGTAGACTTCTGCTACACGTCCTGTAGTAACAGGTGAAGGTTGAAAGTTGTCCAAGTTAACGCGAGCGAAACGACAAATTACGAATGACAGCCCGCGAATCACGAATAGTGCGGCAAGTAATAACGAATGTCCAAGGGAAATTTGTGCGAGTCGCGCGTAGCGTGGCACCCAGCTTTAAACGTCGCGGGGAAGGCGGCGGAGAGGACGAAGAAAGCCGATGAAGCAATATGGGTATTAAATAATGACGAGCTCTCGCACCTCGCGCCGCGTCGCCGCCGTCGCAGTCGACACGCAGCGTGCGTGCCCTCGTGGGGCGTGAAACACTTGAAAATCCCGGTTATGTAAAACATAGGAAAACGGCCCTCCGCGCGCAAGGACCGTCGCGTCGCACCGCTTCGGGAACGTTAGGTGGAACGCGTAATTGAAAGCACTTTAGAGAACCCTAGCGGCACGCACAACGAGCTACTCGCATTTGCATTCAGTGGCGGAGGGAATGCCTTTTAACCGAAATGACTGCGTGTGTATGACAAACGCCGGGGTTTATGTGCCGGAACGATGAGAATATTTATTGGCGCGAATTAATGTCTCCACTCGGCCATACACCGCGTTCGGCGCGCACGTTTACGCGTATATACGCGATATATTATATACATATTTATCGGAACGCGATTTCGCGAATGCGCGCCGCGACCCGTCGTCGGGGGAATTAAAGGGCCCGTTCGCGGGCCAAAAAATCGTCATCTGCCGCAGGTCGCAGGGCGTGTCTGTACGCGCGGTTTCGTCCCGTTGACACGGCGCGGATTTTGACGGCGACTCGCTACGAGCAAGATGATTCGTTTCGCGTTTGCGCGCTCGGAGACTCGACCAAGAAATGGTCGCGCCGCGTTTCCGATTGGGTAATACGGTCACCGGCGCATAAAAATTCCGACCATTATTTCGCAAATTCAAAACGGCGAAATGTGAGAAACGTACGATTCGGTAGACTTCTCGTATACGACTTTCCTCGTTCTCGTTAATCTTTCTGTCGATGTAACTCACTTTCCACCCACGAGTGGACGAGATTCTCTCGCTGCTCGCTATCAGTGCAATCGAATTGTTTTTAACGAGTCTTATTTCGTCGTTAACTTTTAAATAAACATAAACGTATAATATCGAAATGAAGACAGTGTGTCGAGAGGATGATAGATACAAAAGATGATATAAGGACGGTCAAATTAAAAACACGAGTTTAGGTTGCTGATGTACAATTTATATCTATCTATATATATATATATATTATATATATATATATCAGTGTAATATATGTATAATATTATATTCTAATAGATCGCAACGTATATACATTACAGAGTTCACGATCATTCGCGTTAAATCATAATCGAGCGTGGGCATGTATGATACAATCGAGGTGTTCGGATCTTTACGGAATGCGCCTTGACATGAAGAGTAAGAAATGCGAAATATGCGGTTATGTATCTCTTACTAATTTACAAGCTTGTGCAATGCGTGTATATAGCAGCTTGCTGAAACAGGGTGTTTTTGCGAAAAGTTGGAGACTATACGAGTGCACGCTGCTCTATGCCACGAAACGTTCTCGGACAGAAGGCTTCGAAAGTAAGAAGTCTTTCGATATGTCTCTAAATTACAATAGGTATATAATTGCCGAGAACGTATATGACTTCCTAGTTTCTACCGTGTAATAATTCGTTTAGATTAATTCTAATGCTTTCTGGAGCCGAGAGAGATCTCACGTGTTTGAAATGATGATTCTAGAATTTTGTACTGTGTACTTTTACGGAAACAAAGCGCAACAATAATATATAATACATTGTGTGTCAATAATATATATGTTATAATAATATTTGAATATATATATTATATTATTATAAAAATATATTGTGATGTATTATATATAAATATATTTTGTTATATCAAATATGTAATACATTTTTACATATTTTGAGAAAAGGCAAAGAAAATATTAACAACGAGTAAACTGTAACGAATAAGTATGAAAATAATGAAGGCATATTTAACGTAGAGCACCGCACACTCGTGTACATCTCGTATACATACAAGATACTTTTCTTATGAATGTTTCTTATCACAGATCGAATCGCAACAGCAAGCATCGATTGAGATTGTTAGGGCACAAAGGAGACTTTGCACGGGCAAAATCTCTTCGGCATCCGAAACATAGATACTTTCGTTTATTACAACACTCCCGCTTCGAGCTGAAAGTTAATAATGGGATTCGATAATGATTTATGCATATGCGCGTCGGTTGCCTGTTAAAAGAAAAAACTAATTGGGAAATTAAGAACCCTTAAGCACACTAGTGTCGAGAGTCATTTTTGTTTTGCGAGCCGGCACTTTGTTCCTTTAAACCAAACTGATATTTGCAATTCGAAAGTAAAGGATTTTATGAACAACTAGTCTCTTCGATTGTCTTTAAAATAAAATAAAAAAAAGAAAATGGCCGAAACAAAAATGATTCGCTCGAAATCAATGAGCACTTAAGGATTGAATTTCGCCCATCGTTCGTCGAGGTTTCGCAATAAAACAATGAGGACGTCATGCGAGGATTATCAAATTATCATCGATGCCTCGTTACTATTATCATCACTGCATACACTATTTTAGTGCTTGTTACACATGACTCGTTATAGTTATGTCATAAAGGTATATACATATGTGAAACACTAATTCGTCATAAACAGAATTGCATTAAATAAACTACACGCTCTCCTTCGACTTCACATATCACAGAGGTATGTGAGTTACAGAGATTAATCAAGGAGGCTAGCTGCTCGTAAAAAATCTACGGTTAAACTCTAAAGCCTCGTTAGGTTGGCCCGAAAGGGCATTTTTACGAGAGAAATATTGTATCGCATATACATATCTATTACTTTTTATTCATAAACGAATCACGAGGACGACGACGAGATACTATTTCGGTTAGAAGAAATACGGTGTAACAATGACAATCGATGATAATGCATTAATTAAAGCAAGCGACTTGCAGTCGATCCAACCGGCGTATTCCGTTATTTAGCGAAATACGTTGGTTTCGGGTACTTTTCAAGTAATACGAAGTGAGTCATCGTCATCCACAAGACAGAGTCAAACTATAAGAATACAAGCGCATCCGAGCATTGCGGATGCTCGATTCGAACATAATGTATCAAGGCGAGGATGATAACAGTAACTTAAAAAATCGTATACCCTTTACAACTAATAATAATAACTAACGGGCACGTAACATGATAATCATAATAATACGATACAAAATTAATATTTATACGCTACAATGACGAAAATCATAAGCCGTTGCTACTTCAAGCGCTCGGAGAAAACGAAAATTATATACAAAAAGAATATTATTGTTCGGTTGTTCTGAAAATGAAGCTGATTCCGATAGGTTCTTCTACGCTATTAAACGAACTGCACTTCGTGTGATACTAACGACTTGTTAGCACTTGTTGCAAAGCTCATCGGAATTAAGCTCTATTTCGAGAAGTCGGGAATAACAATATACCTTTTTTTACGCACAGATACCGTCACTGGTGTTACATTATCTATATCGTCTACCTTTCAGCGTAAATACGTCATCGTCAAAAAAAAAAACTGCTCAATCCCCGCCAACTCCATCCCATTTCTCTCTAAGCTCTCGTGATAATGAAGCTATCACGAAAATGCACATACTCTCTTTGGACTCTATGTATACTTTGTATATATACATATCTATTTACAGATACACTATATACAGTTGCGACGATTTTATAATATCTCAAACATATTATACACGAACAGTAGATGTCTATCGCAGAATGCACGTTCAATGGGGAATACTTTAATCAAGAGAAGCTATTCTGAATATTCTGGAAAAAGAAGACGGCGACCCATTTTGGGGCCCACAGTTAGTAATCATTTGGACTGTTCGTAACACACTCTACTCTAGGAGAAATGTGGACCGTTTTGTTTTTGGGTTAATGCCTCTTAAGTGAAAATTATCTTTGGGTTACTGAATATCGACAGAACTAATTGAGAGAATTGATTTTGTATTACTTAAAAATAAAAGAAGCGGTTTTCGTCAGATTAGTGCTGTTTACAATAATCGATTGTAATAGTTGTAGCATCGAAGATGCTTACAACAGGACCATCATCGTTCGCCCACGGCTCCATTCGGCCCTTTAGTTCGTAAGCTGCGTTAAATTAAATATTTTAGATTGTGCATTGTCACTGTTTACGCGTAGACATCTAATAAAATTTACTAAGACGATACTGCGATGATGGTATTTACACTACGTGTAAGAAACTGACCGTCTCCAAAAGCAATAGCTTAATATTGCAATATATATATATCTACATATACCTTGCAACAGTTGTAAATAAGGCATTTGAAATGTTACATAATATCAAGAAAATAATTTTTCGCTTTTTTTTAGATTTTATTTTGCCGATAAAAAAATTTTATATATAAAAATCTTAGCTTATCGTATACCCATACGTTCCATCTTCTTTTAATGCAAGAAATTGCGCTGGCTCGTTTCCAATGTAAGTATTTAATTATTATTTCTATTGTCGGGCTATTGTTTAATTAATGATTTCTTGTTATTAAATGGGGAAACGCAGAAATAACGGTGGAGATAAGTGAGATTGCGATGGAAATTAACAATTGCGTCTCGCGAATCGGACGAATAATATCTCACTGTTACAAAGGTACCTTAACAAAAATCTGAAGAAATACATGAATTACGGCTGATACTAAGTTGAGATGCTGTCGGGATTCAAATGGAACTGATATGGATATACAACGCGTCCGGTCCTATATTACCTATATCGTTTCACCTCTTTGGCAATATTCGGTCGTTTTACGGGAGCACACAACGCAAGTAATGTTATTGACGTCTTCTACAGGTCGAATGTCTTCATGGATATCCCTATCGACGCCGAATAGGGAGGACGCGCGGTCGGTGATAATGTGCAGTATGGACGACGTTGATGGAGAGAGTCTTTCGTGAGATGTGAATGCGAGCGAAGGCGCGGCCTTTCGCGTAGCGGACGCGAGAGCGCTTTCTCGCGGAAAGGAAGAAGAGAAAGAGATAAGACGCAGCCTTGTCATTAATGTGCGTCCATTTCTACCGATGCTGATTAACTTTAATTTTGGTTTAGCTCACTTTTTACAATTCCAGAAGTAAGAAAAGATAAAAAGCACGTTGAGCCAAGATTGAATCTAATCTACATTGGTAAAAGTGGACAATAGCCCCCTTAAAGTGTCGTGCAACTATGTTTTATCTCTTTTTCTTCCTCCCTGCCACCCACCCATTCCACTCTCACGCTCGCTCGCTCTCGCTATGCGGTCCCCTTTGCTTCGTATTTTCATCTCCCGCATTTTCTTTCCTCCTCTCCCCTTACGTTTGTTACCCCCTAACGTGAGATGTCCATCTGCACAGGCGTCCGTCGAAGCGTGCCCCACTTTAAGCTACGATATCCCTACGGCGTCATGTTTTGCGTTAGGTTGCGGAATAGATATGAGAAAACGTTCTTAAATTTCTAGCTCTGGCTGTTCGTTTATCGGAGAGATAGGATGAGTCAGAGGACCTTTGCGACTATTATTCGGCGATTGTGATAAAATTAAATACTACTCGAGTAAGTTGACATGGGATTGTTACAAGAACACATAAAATGAAACAAGGTTCAACGTAAAAATGTGCCAAAAATTAAACTCTCTGGAAAAAATTATTGTTCTGGATAAATTTGAAGGTTTTTTGACTCAGCCTATACCGGAACGCCAATTAGAGTAGATATTTATTCTCGCAACTTGAAGGACGATTATTCATAAAAACTATTCGTAACAGAGAGACAAAATGAGAAAAGACAACGGAGGAAAGAAAGAAGTTTTCACAAAGGAAAGTAAATTTTAATCTCAAACTGAACGTGTAGTAACGTGAACTCTGCTTCGTTCTGGACCCTATGTTAAAAACAATTCGATATCCAGGTCTTATAAAATTTCTGTCATGTATCCAGTATAAACAATGATACATCTTAGTGCAGTTAACGATAAGAATCAACGGAAAAAAGAAGTAAGATGGATAAAACTGATGTAATAGAAGTTACAGTTACGGAAATGATCACGTGCGATTCACAAATAATGGAAGTACTTGCACAAATTTTTATACTCTGGTATTCTCTGTCTAACAAACAAGATTAAAGTTCAATAAAATAATCGTCTGTGTTTAAAAATTATAAAAACATCCAGTGTAACCGAGTGGGATGGGACATGGTAAGAAAATAAGTGAAAAATAAACGAGATATTTGGTCTGTTTAGAGTCTTAAAGTTTCCATTAAATGCACATGTAGCTTTGTATCAATTCCGTATAATGTAAATCCTTATAAATCTGTTATAGTGCAAGCACTTGTCAAATATCAATTTTATCTATCTTTCTATCGATTTTATATTACCATAATTTGTTATCAATTCTATTTATAATCCTTAGTAAGGCGGTGTTTTAAGTGTGGGAGCAGTTACTTGAATAAGAGATGTGCAAAAGATAGTGATTAAAATTCGCTTATGTTACGAGTCGTGAAAACGGCATGAATAAACATGAATCATGTTTCGATGAATATTTCTCAGCGTAAAGAAATTCGATGTGGTATGTGCAAGACTTTGCGTGCGTCTGAAAGGCAGATGAATTTACAGATAAACAATTTTACACCTTTGCAGCGATAATTATTTAGATATAATAATTATGACAAAAGCAAAAAAAAATTTTAGCGTACACTTGTAGATCATCTACAGATTTATTTGTATCTTCTAATTTTTCACTCATTATCAAACTCATAACCACATTTCATCAAACACGGTAGATTGTTGCACCTTGGCGCAAGGTAAATCGACGTTTCATGCTTTTTTCACCGCTGCTGACTCGACACGCCGGTCTATAATTTCCTAACGTAATGATATCTTACCAGTTCCACCTTACTAACTCTTGAAATAGTAATGATTGTGCGGAATAAGCGATTGTAAATTCCAAATATGAGAACGAGTGGATCGCAGGTCACCGTTTTAGCAGTTAAGAAACGATAGAGGGTCCAGAAACATCGTCACGAAATCAATTGACTCTATATCCGTATTAATAGGCTCCGCATCCTTATCATGTTATGTCTTTATCAAATTCTCTAGTGACAAAAAGTGTGTAAAGTGGTTCGCGGCGCGAAATCGATAAACGCGAGAATATATCCTGTAGAAAAAGAGACGGATAATGTATGTACTTATATTACATGCTCGTTTGATAGAAAGGAAATAATTCTCGAGCGGAGCATTGGTAACACGACACTCACGAATTATCGCGTGTACGGAATACAGGAGGTCCCTGTCACAAATTCGATTGAAGGCCAGGAAGTGCGTAATGAATGCCTTTACGTTGAAGACGTAAACTTTTGTTGTAGAATTTACAGCAACCATGAAACAGAACTAACATTTTTCCAAAAACTGTTCGGACGAAATTGAAGACTTTTAATAATGTGAAATAAATAGGACTAAATGTTCAATTTAGATTAGACAGAAAAATTAAATATCTCGCGTGTCTATTGCATATACATGTACATATATATAAAATATGAATAATACTGTTGGGATTTCCTGCGAACTCCGACGACGCTCGAGCCACGAATTTCGATCGCGAAGATCGATGATATCCGCGAAGATATGACTCTCGTTATTTATAATTCAAGCGAGCAGTGCAATCAACATCGTACTAGGATAAACCCCCGTTACATTTGTCACATTCGACGTTATTAAACCACCAGAATTGTAAATTGTATGTACCGATTCGAATAGCCGGCCGGGGATGCTACATATTGCTGTTTACGTATAACCAAAACATATCGTTACCTTGGAACGTAAATATTATGCCGAGTTTGTAGTAAGAATATTTAGGTGGAATCTACGGTTAATATTGTGATAGAGACATTTGATATCGATAGGCTCCGTATTAATACGTCGAGTGAGGAAAGTGCAGATAACAGCAGTGCGAAATATTGAATTGAAACATGGGAGATACGATGGAAATGAATATGAATTGCGAGGGCTTGCCAATTAAATGTTAATTCCTGTGAAAACCTTACTCCGTTGTCATGTAAATAAAGTATTTGAGAGGAAGTGTTATAGTCCAATTTGTATTCTACATAAAAATGGAGCGCAAGGTGTCAAGAGATACGACCATGTGAAGCGTTTGCGATTTATCCCGGGCTACGATTCGAAAAAGCTGTTTGCAAGCAAACATAAGCGAGGAGAAAGGATGTGTGAAAGTATTGCGAAAGAGGTTTCCGTTTCCATTGCCTTTGTTTCATAATAGCTTACATGTGTTGAAGCTGAATAGACGACGTATGATGCGAATGCTGCGACAAGTCAGGCGACGGTCCCGGCGAGTAGACGCCACCGGCATGCACAACCCCCTGTTCGACACCCTGCGGCAAGTACATCGAGATCATCTGCCTGAGATCACCCTGCGTCTGCTGGTTCCCCTGCGGCTGGCCCATGTATTCCCGCTTGACGGTTTGGCCGACGGGAACCGCTGCCCCCGTGGTCGTCGGGCCGCCCGTCGGCGTCGGGGTGTGTATGCCACCACCGCTCGCCGGGCTCGTCGGCTCGGACTTAATGCTGCTTCCACTAGGACTATGACTCGACATCTGCGAGCCCGGCTGGGCCTGATGATACGGTGACGGTGAGCCGCCCGGTATGGCGGTGGTGCCGTATCCAGCGTAGCCGTTCATGTAGGTGTTGATGGAGCCAGGACTGCCGCTGCCCATGTGGTTCATGGCGTCGTACCTCGGATAAGCGGCGGTGGCCGCCGCGCCAGCACCGTGCATGTGACTGCCGTACGCGACGTGCTGCTGGTACGCGGCCGTTGGATCGTGCATCATATAACCGTTGGGCATGTAGCCGCTGGGCATCTGATAAACGTCGCGGGGCAATTGCGGCTGCTGCGGCCCACCGCTAGTGCCGACCTGCCGCTGATCAACGCCGAGCATGCCGCCAACGCCGGCGACCCCTCCGCCCAGCTGGAACTTGTCCTTCTTGATCAGCGTCTTTGTCTTGCGACGCGGCCGGTACTTGTAGTCCGGGTGCTCCTTCATGTGTACCGCGCGTAATCTCTTCGCCTCGTCGATGAACGGGCGCTTCTCCGCCTCGCTGAGAAGCTTCCACTCGGCTCCGAGGCGCTTCGATATCTCGGAATTGTGCATCTTAGGATTCTCCTGGGCCATCTTGCGCCGTTGACCTCGCGACCATACCATGAAGGCATTCATCGGCCTCTTCACGCGGTCCATGTTGTTATTCTTGGCGTTGGAGGAATTGCTAGGATTTGGATTATTATGATTGTTAGCTTGATGATGTTGCGATTGCGATTGCTGCTGCGGCGGCTGATGCGGATGATGCTGCTGCTGCTGGGCGCTCTGCTGGGCCGCCATTGCGTGCATGCTCTGCTGCTGCTGCTGCTGTTGCTGCTGCTGCTGCTGCTGTTGAACGGCTGCGGCGGCGACGGCATGTAAGGATGCGTAATGATGCGAGGTCTGATGATGATGTTGAAGACTGAGACCCAAGCCACCCGCGCCGGGCGGACTCCCAGACAGCGCGGGATTGTGGACCAACCCGCTCATAGATCCGTAAGAGGGATGGGTCATGCCGTGATGACCCATCGGCGAAACACCCTGGTGCGTATGCGGTGGTGGTATCTGGGCATGCAGGCTGCCGCCCTTCATGTCCGTCTCCATCGTGTGCATCTCTTCCTGCCTGTGCCCGTACAGTTTGCTGCCCTTTCTAGTACTGTTCGACGACGAAGAAAATCAACGGGGCACGCCGAGTCAATATCGATCCACCTAGGTGGATCGCCGCGTTGTCCGGAATCACGATCACCACTCGTCACTGCGTTTCACCTCCGCTCGCGAGACGATCGCATGAAAATCAACCGCGAATTCTTCAAGTCACCGGCAATTAAATCACTACCAAGACACCCCCGAAAAGGAACGATCGCCAAACGCGCGCGCGCGCACACACACGTTGTGGTCACAGGGTGTTGATCAATCCATCGCACGGTCGCGTCAAATGATACGATAGCCACGAATGGTCATACCGTGGTACCAATGCGGCTCGTGTTCACCAGTTGGTTCTGTGCAGCAGACGTCGAGCTCAAATCGCGGATGTTCACAAGGCAATCAATCCCATGTGAATACAGTCTCGACGGACACCAGTCGTGATCATCGTACTATCGATATAGTCTTCTACACGTCATTTTGAATGCAGTCACTCGTATTCTTCTCGTCTTTTCCCCCTGCAGATCGCGAAGAGAGAGGCTTCGAGAGCGACCCGCTCGCCGACGACGTCCGTACGAGACTAACACTTTCTTCCCCTCACTGCTAGTCTCTCACCACTCCGTACCATTCGCCAGCCACTCTGACTGGCTGCGGGCCACTGTACGCTCGACGAATCGCGTCACGACAATGCGGCAACGACGCGCCAACTAAGCGCGAGTGCCTCGGAGCGGCGGTCGCCTTTGAAACTAGACGATGGCACCCTCAAACGGCGAGCGCGTGGCACGAGAAACCCGAGCCGGAAACGGAATAACGTGAAGACTGGTCCAACTGGCAGAATTCACGCGTACTCCCGCTGTTCGAGAATCCCTAAGTTTTCCCACCCGCACGTTTTTTTACGCACTATACTCCGTCAACGATCCCACCCGAGGGTCGTTGCTAATCGCAGTGCGTACGACTAAAAGCGGTGACGATGCTTTTATTTCGTACCACTGCCTGCCCACTCGTCACCGCTGGACGACAACGACAACGAAGGAACAGTCCGACGTAGAAGATGCGAAGCAACTTCTACTCTCCACGAGCGAACGAAACTGTCTGATGCTAAACGCGTGTCTTCAACATCGTAGCTCGGTCGCTGCCAAAGGTACGGCATTCCCCTTCCCTCGACGGGAAGCGCCCCTCTTCGCGACCAGCACCTTGGGCTTAGAGTGGGGACCTCGTCCGACCGCTGTACCGCGCACCGTACGCACCGCGGGCAATCGATTGGCAGGCGCGCCTGCCATCATTTCTCTCGACCAATCAGCCGGCTCGTTCGCCATGGAGGCGGCGCCGTTGCTCCGACGTCACCTCGATGAACATGACCGACCTCTCGCGGCGATGCCGCAGCTCCCGACGTCTCGTACCCCCTCCACGCTTCTCTCGTCCCTACTCCGCGCTATCGGCGTCCTCTCTCTCTCTCGCTCTCTCCTTCTCTCTCTCTCTCTCTCTCTCTCTCTCCCTCTTTCTCTCCCTCTCTCGTTCGTTCCTCTCGTAGTTCAGTCTTGTGCACAGGCAACGTTTCTACTTGCTTTTTCGCGCCGCGAAATCGGCTGCCCGTCGGACGCATGTACCGCTACGCGGCCGCCGCGCCGTTGAGCATCGCCGATATGTGCGTCCGCGAGCCTTACTTCGCTCCTTTGGTCACGAGTTGGAGGCTGCGCGATACACATCGACATTAATGCACGAGTATGTCTAATGCGCGGCTCGCGATAAGAAAGTTTCAGGACCTAATAGATAAGCAGATACGCGGAGCTACTTAAAATACATAGATGAAAGCCGGGTGTCATGTTACCCGTGTAAGATTTGAAGGAAAATAACTTTGAAAGTTTTAACATTCTAGAAAAATATCGATAAAATCTTCCATTTTCATTAGATTCAAGTTTTTGTGTGTGTGTGTGAAAGATCTAGAAAACAGACTAAAATGAAAAATGTATTTTCCGCGTCTCACTTCGTGTGCGCTTCATCTGTTGTATTTTATCAGCAAAATGTTCTTTTTTTTTTCTGGTTGAAAGTTGAGAATTCGCTTTTCCTCCCGACTTCTCTTACTGTCGCCGAACAATTTTCGGATCCAATGACAATTCCGAATTTTATTCCACTGCTCTCTATCACCGCTCGATATATTCGAAAAGAGATTGAGAGATTGCAACGAGGATCTCGATTCCTCCGCTTTCCCGTACCCGGGCGTCGAACGCTAGGATCTATCAAGCGGCTCGCCTGAGATCATTACCGTCGAGCCTCCATTGGACGTCGTCGCGTCTTCATTTCAGCACGCTGCGTACTGCGGCCCGCAACTTGCGGGACCTGTTGCCGCGAGACGCGACGAAAAGGAGAAGAGATGCGAGACGAGTTGGCCTACGACGGAAGTGCGGCGGTGGTAGATAAACGCACGGGACTACATTTGGCTTCATCGACGGCACATCGGTGGAAGAGACGTCGTGAGGACCTCTTCAAAATCGATGCCGCACGTGCAAACGTGTTCGAGATCATGTATGTCCGCTTTCAAGTGCAACGCGCTTTCCCTCAAGCATTTCAAAACAAGATTACATCGTAATTGCATTCTCATCGGGCGATTGTTTATCTCTGGCTTCTGATTACTCCAATTACTTTAATTTTCCGAGTAATCTGGAGTACCTCTCTCGATCCTGGTGCGCGGTCATCGTGATTGCGATTATTATTTCGCAATTCGTCCTTGAAACGACGATCTTGAGTGCAATTGCAGGCTTGCACCGATCGTGATTGTAAGTCGCCTATCTGATATCTCGATAAGCTTTTATCACAGCGATATCCGCTGAAATCAATAACCGGAATAAACGTTCGTTTTACAATCACATGTATTTAAATCGGCATTGAAAAACGCTGTAAAACAAACATTTTGCTTGCTATTTAAAAGCTTGCATGTTTAACAAAAATTAAATAGATATTGCTATTGATAATTTTTGCGAGCAAAACAATTATCTTCCTACAACTGAAATATATGGTTTCATTTTATGCCTTTTGGGTCGTCGGCATTAGAACAGATCAAAAGCAGGTAGATACCTGCTGGTGATGAATGAATGCAAACAGGGAAAGGGGTTGGAAAGGTCCGTGAAAACAAAATTCCTTTCACTCGATTGACTGTGTGACAAAACGAAACCATAAATTTAAGTTTTGTGAAAAAGTTGTGGCGTGTGTTCTACCCAGTAGGTAAAAACAAACTTGCATATCATTTCCGTCACACATTCATGGTGGAAAGCAATTAATAATGAATTATTAATGAACGCATTAACAATATCGACTGCAAGTTAGCGACATCGCCGCCTTAAATACTTTGAGAAAAAAAATAAATTTAGAGAAGACCCTTAACTAAAACTAAACAATATGTGAGAAAACGCCAATGTGGGTCATAAGGCAAGATGTAGGTGGCCCAACTTGTGATTTTTATATTTAAAATGTGTATTCGTATACCGTTTCTTTCCACATTTGTCCTGCGCGCCGGTTACTATTCGGACATAACGCAGTTTTCTTACGTGTCGAGTTATTATCGTCAGCAAATTCACATATTTAAATCGATAAACGATTTGTAATTATATTTAAAATGCTATATTTTAACATTTTTTTATGCTACATTTAGCATTCAACCCCCCACCTTTTCCGTACTGTAAATTATTCTCTTCTTTAGACACTAACACCCTGCCACGGCTCTTAGTCCTTTATTCCTTCAAATTTGTGTTTATCACATTTGAGCCATACGAATTTTACTAATTTGTAAATTATTCTTATTGCGACAATTATTACCTCGGCCAGGATTCGAACCTGGGACCTTCCTCAATTCGTGTGGATTGTGGAGGAAATGTGGAAAGAAACGGTAAATAAATTCACATTTTTAATATAAAAATTACAAGTTGGGCTACCTACATCTTGCCCTGTGACCCACATTGGCGTTTTCTCATATGTTGTTTAACTTTGAGAACATTTCACTTTAATTGAATCTCGATGCGAGACAAATGCTAATTTAATTGAAACAAACATTTCGCTCGCTATATTGAAAAATTTGTGTGTTAGACAAAAATTAAATAGATTTGATTAATAGTTTTTGCAAAGTTTTTGCGAGCAAAAGGACTTTTTCCTACAACTTGAATTTATGATTTTATTTCATGATTTATGGATCGTCGGCATTAGATCAAATAGAAAGCAGACAGGTAACCTGCTTGCAATGACGGAGCCGCACGCAGGATATGGTTTCAATAGAAAAACAGGATTATTTCCTCTCTATTGATATATCTTGGCCTGTGTTCTTCCTCGGAGGTACAAAATTTGGCACGTCCTTGGTACAAAGGGCACAGGTGTAAATTACAAAGAAAAGTCAACCTCGCGTCACTTTCCCACTTTATAGCACTATTTTTGGCACTTTCGAAATACAGCGAGTCAGGAGCAATTTTCAAAATAAATTTCCAGAGATTAAGTTTTGTACTGTAAGCTTTACTTGCTCGTTATTCATTATTCACGAGATAAAATGTGATTGGCTTACATCAGTGTCATTTTAAATAGCTCGCGTAAACTTGATCATCTTGGCAGCGTAATAAGCAAACAAATTTCTAATTCTAATTAGAAGCGCGGTATTTGATGACAAATGGTGCGCAGTCGCACACGCGAAAATCGCGCGAGAACGCCTCTCGTGCGTATCATTTGCCCGTGCAACAGCGGCATTAGGCCGAAATGCGCCACAAGTGGCACATAAACCGTGCGGAATAAGTGGATTGATAGGTCGTTACCGTTGAAAGAAGATAGAGCGGATCGCACCGATACACGTAGAAAGCTGAAGGTAAAGGAGAAATAGAGAAAGAGAGAGAGAGAGAGAGACAGAGAACGTACAATAAGTCGGAGTCCGACAATGGAATACCGCGGGCGGTCTTTGTGATTCAAATCAATGTTTGCGATACTCGATGGCGCACTGCCTTTATAGCACCGGGCTTTCCTAGGCTTCTCGCGTATATGTATACGCACGCACACGTGCGCAGAGCTATCTGTCCAATCGAGTGTGCGCGCGCGCTCGTATATCGAGGTCGCGTATATGCGCGAATGTGTGCATCGGCGATGCAGCGCATCCACCGTGCGACATGAGAAAGCTCATTGTACCCGGCATAGACGCACTCGAAAACCAGAATCCCGTTCCCTCCCCAATCGATCTCCTTCTACCCGCGCGAACGGGCCGGCCGTCTCGTGCCGGCACTCATTCATACATCCGGCCGACGTTCGGGGAACCGAGACCTTTGGTTTTGCGACTACGCTCCTCTCGCGACATACATCGATTTTCGCGACGCGCGAAGCGCGCGTCTCTTCGCAGCGCGAAAGCGAAATCCTCTTCTCGTTGCAATCCGCTGCGCGAGGCGATTCCCTCCCAAGATACGCGAAAAGCAAATTACTTGTACACACAATTTCAGTGGAAATATTTTCTCAGTTGAATGTTTTTTAATAATTTTTCAATGTCACACAGGGATTAAAATCGATAATTTTTTTTTTTTTTTGAGAAAAAAATCATGTCATGACTTTGACTTTTATTTTACATTTTTTAAAATTATTTCTTGGTTTTCATCAAATTGCAACTTTTATTTCCTAGTCAATTGCTTTAAAAATCACACCGTGAGAGTTACTTTTGAGAGAAAGAAAATCGCTCAAAAATAAATGTTATTCCTTAAGCAGAAAATATTTCCCTCAAAAATAAAACTCAGCCTGATTTATTGATTACAAAACAACGATTAGTCATTGTTAGGGTGGCACATTTTACAGGATTTCTCCACGCTCAATGAGACATCGAATGAGACCATAAATAAATCAAAAAGATTAATCGTTTAAGAGATATATCTAATTTTTCATGGAAAATGATGATATATCTAATTTCATGGAACATAATGAACATGAAATAATATATAGATTAAATCAGAAGTATCAAAACGTTATTCCTTAAATAAAAATATAAGTTTATAACGAAAACAACTTGTACTCTCTGCAACATAGAAATTAGGCATGTGAGAG